TCTTTCCTTACTATATGGGACCGAGGTACAACATAGTAAAAAAAAAGTACGATGAAAATTTCGACTCCTCATAAACGTCATCGTTCTTTTCCAGCCGTCCTGGAAAAGAAAAAAGAAATGTAAGTGCATGTCGAAATACACTCGTATGTGCGTAAAAACACAATGTCGGCGAAAAAATGGAAAATAAACTCAAGCACACGTAATAGCGTTAAAAAATAATTTTGTTTTTTTTTAAATAAAAATATAAACATATAGGCATATTAAAATTGTTTTTTTTAATATTATATATGTCAAAAGAAAAATCGAGATAATATAAAATGTCGAGTAGTGTCTTACGTGCAGTAGTCGTTTAAATGTTCTGGAAATCTTACTCTTCTTCCAGAACGCGTCGTTTTAAGTTTATTTTCAGATACATTCGGAGTATCATCGCTAGTGTTGGTTGTCGGTTGAGGAATTATGAGTGGAGTCGTGTCGTTCGATTGTACCGAAGGAAAATCGACGTGAATAGGATTTCCTTCTAAATACGCTGCTTTTAAGCGATCGATGCTGATGCTATCGTTGGTTCCGTTCTTATCGACTATATAGTACTTAGATTCACGTTGAAGAACTTTGAAAGGTCCTTCGTATGCTGATTCGAATGGTCGTCGATGCGAGTCTCGACGAACGAAAACGTGTGTACTATATCGTAAGTCAGGTTGAACGAAAACATCAGTTGATTGAGGTCGAGTGGAAGCAGGTTTAACTGAACGCATTGCGTTTGTAAGCCTGTTCGTGTAGGAGGTTAGATCCATGTTCATCGAAGAGCACGAAGGATCCACGAATTCTCCTGGAAGTCGAAGTGTCGTTCCATAAACGAGTTGAGCCGCAGTGTATCCAATGTCAGCTTTCACTGCATTGCGGATACCTAGTAAGACGAGTGGAAGAGCGTCGGTCCACTGTGAAACGTTTGCAGCTGATAGTGAAGCTTTAGTTGTCGGTGAAAACGTTCTACCAACCCGTTTGCTTGTGGATGGTAGGCGGTCGTTCGGAAGCGAGTGATTCCTAAAAGTGTGGTCAGACGACGGAAAAGTTCAGATTCAAACTGACGTCCGCGGTCTGTAGTGATGGTTGAAGGGCAGCCGAAGTTTGCTACCCATCGTTCGACGAAGGTGCGGGCCACTGTTTCAGCAGTGATGTCCTTGATAGGTACTGCTTCTGGCCATCGAGTGAAACGGTCTACGCAGGTTAAGAGATAAGAGTATCCATTTGAATCTGGTAAAGGTCCTACCAAATCCAGATGAACATGGTCGAAACGAGCATCGGGAGTTTTAAACGAGCCTAAGGGACATTTATTGTGTCTGATAACCTTAGATTTTTGGCAGCTTACACAGGAGCGTGCCCACTCCCTCACGTCTTTATTCATGCCAGGCCAGCAAAATCGTTCTGCTATAAGCTTGATGGTTGCACGAACACCTGGATGAGAAAGTTTGTGCAATGTGTTGAAGACATTGCGTCGATAATGTTTCGGCACGATTGGGCGATCCCTACCTGTAGATGTGTCACAAAGTAAGGTTTCCTTACCTGTTCCCATCTGTTTGATGCGTAGTTTAAGTGTTGTGGACGATAACTCGTGCTGAAGATCAGTGTCTTCTTTTTGAAGCTCGGCGAGTTTAAGAAGGTCGATTCCTTGGAAACTGTTCAAGGAAGTTATGCGAGATAAGGCGTCTGCAACTACATTGTTTGCTCCAGAATGTGTTGAATATCTGAAGTAAACTGCGAAATGTAGTCCAGTTGTCGAGACTCACGGGGAGAGTACTTGTCAGAAGGAGAGCTTAACGAGAAAGTGAGCGGTTTATGGTCCGTGAAAAGAGTGAATTCACGGCCTTCGATATAGTGTTGGAAATGCCGTACAGCACAATACATAGCTAGGAGTTCCCTACCGAATGTGCTGTACCTCGATTCGGTGTCTAGCAACCTTCTAGAGAAAAATGCCAAGGGTTGCCAGGAGTTGTTAACCCATTGTTGTAAGACTCCTCCGATTGCTGAGTCGGATGCGTCTACTGCGATGCTAATGGGTGCTCGGTGTCCTGATGTGCGAGCATTGTTGCTTTAGCGATCAGTTCCTTAACTGTGGAGAATGCTTTTCGTGCGGTGTCGTCCAAATTAATGGATTTCGCATTTCCACGAAGTTGGTCGGTCAGAGGTTTCATAAGTAATGCGCATTCGGTATGAAACGTCTATAGAAACTTACCAGGCCGTTAAACGTGCGTAATTGCTTGACGGTGGTCGGTTCTGGGTAATCCAGAATGGCCGCCACTTTGGTTCTAAGGGGTCGGATACCTTGAGCATCGATAGTGTGTCCCAGAAAGTCTAATGAGTCGGTTCCGAATTGGCATTTCTGAACGTTTACAGTTATGCCATGTTTTTGTAATCGTTCGAAAACAAGATCCAGATGCTTGAGATGTGTTTCTCTGTCCGGACTTGCGATTAGACAGTCGTCAACATACGCGTGTACGAAGTTGAGACCTCGAAAAACGTCGTCTATGAATCTTTGGAATGTTTGAGCAGCATTCCTTAGACCGAAAGGCATTCGCAAAAATTCATAGAGTCCGAAGGGAGTTATGATAGCTGTTTTCGGTATGTCGTCAGTAGCCATAGGGATTTGGTTATACGCTTTAACCAAGTCGATTTTCGAAAAGACAGTTGTACCTTTCAAGGTAGCTGTCAAATCGTGAATGTGAGGCAACGGGTAACGATCGGGAATGGTTTTCGCGTTCAATCGCCGATAGTCGCCAGTTGGACGCCAATCGTTGCTGTCCTTTTTAGGGACCATGTGCAACGGAGATGCATATGGGCTACTTGACGGTCGTATGATTCCTAAGTCCATCATGTGATCGAATTCGTTTTTCGCTAACCTTAGCTTTTCAGGAGCTAGTCGTCGTGCTTTAGAGAATACAGGTGGTCCTGTAGTCGTGATGTGATGTGTAACGTTGCTGGTTACACACGGTAGTTTCGGTTGCGTTTGTTGTATCCCAGGGTACTTATCGAGTAGTGGTTGATAGAGTGGGTCTATCATATGCTTAACTGTGACTGGGGATACTCTGCAACCAGTAAAAGAAGTTACGCAAACGGACAAATTAGTGTTTCCGTCTACTAGCCTCCGTTTGCGAGTGTCGATGATCAGATTGTGGTGTTGTAGAAGGTCCATACCAATGATTGGCATAGAAACATCTGCAACAACGAAAATCCAGTGAATGGGTTTGCGTGGACCCACGTCATACGTAGCGATCGGTTTTCCGTTTGCCGCCTGTAAGTTTAGAGCCGATTCGTGAAGCCGGTCGTTAGGATTTGCTGGGAGAACGCTAACTTCTGCGCCAGTGTCGACGAGGTAGCGAACTCTCGTTGTCACATCTGTGACGCATAACAGACGGCTATGTTCGCCGGCTACGGTTGCCGTTAACGCGTGCCGGCTTGGAAGTTTCCCGAGTTGTTTTTCGAGTCAGTCGGTTTCGTGTTGGGAAAATTGCAGGGTTTTCTGCAATTTCTGGAAAACTTTCCATACTGGTTATGATACCAGCACCAGTCGGGGTTATCTGTCTCTCGTGGTCTAGAGACAGATCGCTTACGAGAAATGCTTCTACGTGGTGTGTGCGATCGATTACGGTCGGTACGAAGACTAAGATAACGCGTGAGTGTGTGACATAAGTCGGTTATGTCATTCTGAGTCGTTTGAGGCTTTTCTTTGACTGAAAATACCTCGGTAGTAGAAGGTTTCGTAATTTCTAGAATACGGTCGGCAGATGCAGCTAGTTCGTCTAAGGCGTTGTTCTGGAACGAGACCAGAACTGCTTGCACCTGTTGGGGAAGTTTTGACAAGAAGAGTTGTTTGAATAGACCTTCGTCGAAAGTTCTTGGGCCTATAACCTCTCTCATCCGTTGCAACATGTCTGTCGCAGAACCGTGTTGCAGGTCGATGTTATTGAAGAGTTGATCTAACCTTTGTCGATCGGTTAGGTCTCCTCGTTTAAGAATCGAGCGTTTTAAGATTTCGTAAGGTTCGGAAACATCACTAGTAAACATACTAGGTGTTACGTACCTGTTGAATTCCCTCGGTAGTGCCTTGACTACTGCGAGGAATTGTGCACGTGTGTCGATCACGCCGTGCTCGCGGAAGTCGGCTTCTGCGTAGCAAAACCAGGCTTCGATGTTGTCGGGCCAGAAAGGCATCAGTTGAAACGAAGGTGGGGACAAGGTCTTAAGCTTGAGTACTTTAGGTGTCTGTTCAGTCATGATGAAATATGAAGTACGATAATGAACGAGGGGAAAATATATATATCCAAGAAAAAATACGAAAAAAATCACAATGTTTAGAAAAAATAAAAAAATAAGGCAATGATATATAAAAATCCCAGAAAGGAACAGACTCACAGTTGCAATAAGGTGTACCAGATCACGACGGTCTCACCAATGATGATGTCACAGGTATTCAGTGTTTGACAACGCTTCTACCAGTAACACCTTCTAATATATTTCGTTCCCACCAAGAGAAATCAAAAGACAGAGTCGAGGAGATCGGAAGAGTATATTTGGCGATGACCAATATATCGGAATTCTCTGATCTAATCTGGCTAGCGATTGCGGTTGATGTTGAGCACGGCGTTACCACACGTGATCTGGTGCGGATGCCTGACCGAGCGCCTTCAGCTAGATGAGTCCACTAAAACATATGGTCAGCATCCAGTGTCGAAAACTTAGTGCTATTTATTTTGGGGATTTATTTACCGCTACAGCAGGTTACCACAGAAATCAGTAAACTTGACAAGCGATATATAATACAACTAATGCATTTTGACGAAGTATATTGTATGAACATATATATGCACATACATCATCACAAAAACTGAAGATATAGTATTCGAATAAAAAAAAGAGAATTATTGAACTCTATCGTCACTTCAGTCTCAATGTATTGAACAAAGACTTTAGTTCCCTGTTCGAATTCTGAGTCTCGCTTTGGCGGCATGGCAACATTCCCAGGTAGAGCACAAGGACAGCTAGCTTTCGATGAATACGGAAGACCCTTTATCATATTAAGAGACCAAGAGAAAAAGAAGCGCCTATGTGGCATACAGGCACACAAAGTAGGTATTATTAATATTCAATGATTGCAAAATTAGTCGCACATAATGGCAGCGAAAACAGTAGCAGGGACTCTAAGAACATCTTTGGGTCCTAAGGGTTTAGACAAACTTCTTGTTAGTCCGGATGGAGATGTAACTGTTACTAACGATGGACGAACAATTCTTGACAAAATGGATGTGGAGCATGAAATTGCAAAATTACTTGTTCAACTTAGTAGGTCTCAAGATGATGAGATAGGAGATGGTACTACGGGTGTTGTTGTCCTCGCGGGTGCACTTTTAGAACAAGCTGAACAATTGCTTGACAAAGGTCTTCATCCAATTCGCATAGCAGATGGCTACGAATTAGCTGCAAAACATTGCCTTTCCACCCTAGAAGAGATCAGTGTTCAATTCGAATTTTCTATCGAAAATCGAGAACCTCTCATCAAAACTGCTATGACTACTCTTGGGTCAAAAATGTAAGTCTCTCTCATAATAAAACTAAGTATTTAGCGTCAACCGTTGTCAAAGAATGTTTGCCGAAATGGCAGTCGATGCCGTTTTATCAGTTGCTGACTTGCAACGTCGTGATGTGGATTTTGAACTCATCAAAGTCGAGGGAAAAGTTGGTGGTAGACTTGAAGACTCATTGTTGGTGAAAGGTGTAATTGTTGACAAGGATTTTTCTCATCCTCAAATGCCGCGTTCAGTAGAAAATGCCAGACTGGCAATTCTTACGTGCCCTTTTGAACCACCAAAACCAAAAACAAAACATAATTTGTTTGTAAGCTCCACGAGGACTACCATAAGTTACGAGATTACGAACAAAAGAAGTTCGAGGAAATGGTAAAAAAGTTAGTGCTCTCCGTTTTAATTGTATCGAGTCTCAAATTTTTCATCTTTAGTACTACTCATTGGTTTTTAAACGTATTTTCTACCCCCATCTTACTTAATTGTTATTTAAAAGCGGCAACTGGTGCTTGTGAATTACTGAAAGTACTTAGAGACTCCATGCGATTCCAATTTTTTCAGTCGAGTTAGGTCCTTAGGTTTAGTATATTCTTAAACGGTGTCTTAGACTACTTCTTGTATTTTTGACTTGTTGTAGAAAGTTTTGACGGGTCAGTACTTGCTAATGTATTACTACAGCTGTCTGTCGGTATCTTATTATCCTCCAACATACCTGTTATAAGCTGAAACCAACCCCTATTGTCAAACATACTAAACCAAACTAGTTTTTGTTTTCTATTATTTATTTATTTCAACACATAGATAATGGTACAAAGAGGCACCAAATACATATGCGCCACACAAATATCATTCGATATGTAAGGGCTGTGATACTATCTGGGTGCCCAAACCGAAGCAGGTGGTTATCTTAGGGGGCCACACCACGAGCCTTCGACCTGAAGGTCTGATCCACAAGGCAGTGGAGCATCGTAAGGAGATGCAGTCCCATGGTAGCCGGTGACCAACGATTGGTTCATACGCCATTTGTTCTTTTAGGATACTGGAGCCCATGTGCACCATTGGTTTGAAATCATGGTTTTTCAACTCCTAGGTGGACTTTCCATGTCCACTAACCCGGTTAAAGCGCCGGACATTCGCTTTTCGTCCTCTTATTTTCGTAAACAACATCCCCGCCACGAGAGGGCAGTGAGTAGGACTTCCCTGGCAGAGGCTGTATATGCGTGGCCGTGTGAGAGCATTTCGAGAGGGAGAGCGGACTCTCCTCACTCTCGGCCGTACCAGGGCATTTGGGCATTTTTTGTTTTCTAATCTGCTTTTACTCCCGAGAACGGCATAACATAAGCAGGGACTGAGTTTGCTTAACATGCCTCAACCATTCCGATGTACAGTTCGCATCCTCAGATGACTGATCATCATCTGGTAGTGTTTTACATCGGAATTGATCACCTAAAGTTTTAGGTTTGTTTGAACAGTCCTTCAAGTGTTCCGGTGGTTTGATACATATAAACATTCTTATTACTTCAGTCAATCATCAATAACGTAGAACTTCGTACGTACATCAGTTCGAGTTACCATACCACATTAGCATACAGGTGTAATTGTCAATTCAAATTCCGTAGTGGTAGAGGTAATAAGAGTATAAGCAGTAATCGGAAAGATTAGGGTTTGAAGATGTTATTAAAAGAGTATAACCCAGTGAAATAAATTTTTAAAAAAGGACATAAATTCAAACGATTAGAATTTGGGATAACATGTTTGGCTGCCATGATTTGTCACAATGTCCCGTCTTCAACTGACGATTCTAGTTGAATAAATGGAATTTAGTTTTCTTTTACGGCTTATATGACTTCATCAGCCCACTAAGACTGAAGACTCAAATGATAAGTACAGCAGTTCACCTTTTCAATAACTTCGTTTTCCGTGTTAAAGTTAGGATATAACATTGGCAAAGGTCCAGGCACAATTGTTTTCCAACCTTGGAAATTGGTTACCTATTGAGTGACAGATAATCAGAAATAAATGGTCAATCCAGTAGTCATTAGTTTTTGGCCAAAATTATACAAAAAATAGTGGTCATTCTGAGTTGTATTCATAAGAAAATTAAAGTTCGTGACCAATAAAGCTGGGTTACCATAAAATCGGTTGCATGTGAAGACTTAATCACTTAGTGTTGATCCAAATTTTGAAGATGATAAACACCTTTATGATCTGTTTTAATTGGTTTCTTCTTGGTTATGTGACTAAAATACAGTTTTCAACTTTGATGCCCCTACTACAGCTTGGGCAGCTGAATAGTACCTCTCTCCTTTACAGATTATGTTCGAATCCAAGTAAAAAAATTTACTTGATTGACTAGTCACGTACTTGTAAATACGAATGTGACTACCATAAATTACGACGATCGCTTGCTTTCAAATATAAATGCTTAGTTTATTTTGTCAGTGTTAAAAAGTCGTTAATTTTCTATTGAACTTCCTTTACTGTTGATATAATGTGTAACAGCTTGAGCCAACTCACATTGGCCTAGGGTCCTGTAATATTTCTGTTTATTGTAGATATTCAGAATCTAAGTGACTATCTATACTGTTTGTTCCTACCAGGTCTATAGATGCACCAAGGGTGCTACTGGGATAAACTTCAGTCACCTGTCAAAAAACGTACAATAGAAGAGACATCGGCCTCTTCGCATATGTGTCAAGTTTGTTTTTTTAATCAAAATTGGTAACATTTATTCTAGTATAACAAATTCGACCGTAGTATCTTATATTGTTTTCAGTTAGGACAAAATTCTGTATTTGACGGTTAGTAAAAACTATCATTTGTGGACTTCCATATAGCATCTATTTGTAAGGCCATTAGCTTGAGTTCAAGCACAATAAATCACCAGGTAGCGAAATAAAACTACTGAAACCCCTCAAATTATCTAATTTCTTGTCGATTCGATTATTTTCGCGTCTTTTCTGTTCTTATATTCTTTAAAGTGCTTGCTGAGAAAAATTCACTAATTCCAAGTTGTTTCTTCTATCTCGAGATTTCTGTTTCATTTGTACATTCACGCTCAAACATTGGTAGCACCATATTAAACTTAGAGTATATTTATGTCTTTTATGTCATGTCTTGGAAAGCAATATTACTTAATTGAGTAAATTCAACCTTTCCACAGAATAAAAACATTTCCAGTAATATTTAAGTTTCTGGTCACATTTATATTTATCAGGGTCAAGGACACTGGTGCTAATTTGGTTATTTGTCAATGGGGTTTCGATGATGAAGCTAATCATTTACTTTTACGTGAGAAGCTACCGCTGTTCGCTGGGTTGGTGGTCCTGAAATCGAGTTGATTGCCATTGCCACCGGTGGAAGAATTGTCCCCAGATTTGAGGAGTTAACCAAGGAAAAACTTGGGAAGGCGGGTGTGGTACGTGAACTTTCATTTGGCACTACCAAAGAACGTATGCTTGTAATTGAGCAGTGTGAAAACTCAAAAGCAGTGACCTGCTTTATACGCGGTAGTTCTCGAATGATTGTGGACGAAGCAAAACGTTCATTACATGATGCTCTTTGTGTTGTTCGCAATTTGGTAAGCAGTATATATTATCTTTGGTCTAGCAAATTTATAAGAATGTATTTTTCACTTAGTTGTAACGGTGTGTTTGATCCTTAGAATTATTAAATTCTTTGCTCCAAAATAATAAACCACATCTAGAATACGTCGACGAATATTGACCTATGGAAGAGATACTACTGTTTATAGTTGTAAAAAGATCGAACGTATTAATGATGATTTCAGAAGGAAGAATACAATCGACGATTAAGGAAAGTAAGATGATGTTGAGATTCAGTATTTAAGAAGAGCTAGAGGATACATGTACCTAGTCTCTCGAAACAATTTTAAAGCTCATCACCCATAGTTTTTTAGTCATTGAGCACTTTTATTGCATCAACTCCGGTTATTTCGTGCCTCTTTAAACAGCCCAGTTTAGTATCTCTTAGTTTCATGGACCCGTGGCTAGTCCTAATTTGGATGTCCCTAGCTTCCTTCTAATCTACCCCTTTGTCAGCCAGGATTTCCCTTCGACGTAAGCGTTGACTGAGTATACGCAACACATTTCTCAACTAAATCGTTTAATAAAGATTCGTAACCTCATCAACTAATTAGCTTTATTACCTGAGTACTCTAATGTTGTAAGGTTTCTTGATCCTTTATTTTGCCAAAAACTTTTTGTGTAATAGAAAAAAGTACAAGAACCTCAAGTTGTATTACAGTTAGTTTATTATTTACAATTTATATGTCCCACTTTTTATGACCATTTACTTTTTACTTCAGTTGCATGTGACTCAAATCAGGTACTACCAGCAAACAATTAATCAAGACAAGTAAACATTATAGCAAGATTTACAAGTGTTCACTAAAGTAGTTATTAAAAATGAGCATCAGTTGTGTGATATTCCCATATTACTTAAGTAAATAATAGTTATTTTGTGACATCCCTAGTGTTCATGTTCTTACCTTACGTCGCGCTTAAAATTGGTTTATAATCACTTATTTCTTTATGTGACCAATTACTTTTCTGTGCACAGGTTCGCGACTCTCGAGTTATTGCTGGAGGTGGTGCCTGCGAAATTGCGTGTTCCTTGTCAGTTGCTGCTGAAGCTGACAAAGTTGAAGGTCTTGAGCAATATGCTATGCGAGCGTTTGCTGATGCTTTAGAGGCGATTCCAATGGCTTTAGCTGAGAATTCAGGTTTGCCACCAATTGTTACAGTCTCTGAACTAAAAGCACGGCAACTGTGCGACCATAATCCTCGTCTTGGAGTAGACTGTCTGAATGTTGGTACTAATGATATGTATCATCAAAACGTCCTCGAAACGTTAAGTTCCAAGCGCGCTCAAATCATGCTAGCTGTTCAACTTTGCAAAATGATATTGAAAATTGACGATATTCGTGTTTCTGTGGATGAACTGTAAACGTTGCTTTTAGGTTTGGTTTTGTTATCAATGTGTAAAGGTTTGTTTGTGATCGAATATAAGTGCCGAACTTAAATTATAGTTTTAATTTCGCAGTCTGCGTAAAAGGACTTTATAGAACACCATTTTCTCTGAAAATCATTTTTGGCACTAATTATGTACTAATCGCTCTTCCCGGTGAACTATTTCGTAGGTTGCTATTACATTTCAGATAAGTTGTAAACATGATGGAAATTGTGCAGTTCGTCCTATATAATGATGAGTAAGATGCCATTTCTCAAGTGGAATACATCCAACATTCCTGTTTCATCCATTCTATATTTCACAAATAATCAGAAACATCTTTTTTGTCTTGTACTTGGTGATCACTTCTCGATAGTTTGTGTAGTACTTTAGTAGCCTTAGATCTGACTCCAGGTAGATCGTTTGCTGCTTGCTATCGAAATATACATGTCGGCTTTTCTCGTATATAATCATCGACTTAGATCGCGTCAGTGAATAACGGAATACGATAATGGATTTCGAATACTGATATTTCATACAATCACCGATCCTGACAAACGATCGAAGAAACGGCGAAGCGAAACGACGCGCGGTGGAGAACGTATGTAAGCCAACTCGATTTAGCCAAGCATGAATCGATATTTATAGTCAGAAAAAAATAAGTTACAGACATGTGATGAGTACGATAAGAAATGCACACACATACGCTTACATAAAATAATCAAGGTTGGTAAACGAATAAGTGACAAGGTTAGGATGTAGCTTGCAAAGAATGGATAGATTGATCTGTTCAGAGGTTAGAATAACCTATGTGGGTTTGACATAGTACCAGCCCCTACAGTACTACTAAATTACTACGCCAATTGTATATGTTACGCGAAAAGGTTAGTTTAAAGCAATATGTCGATTTAGACACCTTCCATGAAACAAATTTATTGAAACTTGTGTTCCCAAACGTCTAGTGTTCCTTGGCCATTGTACTTCACTCAGTTAGCCCTAAATCAAAACATTATATATTCCAAGTAGCTGGGCAATAAGATATTGCATTAGTAAAATAGGAGCTTCTTGTATATCCATATTTCACTCTGGCACTGATTGGCTGAAAGAGGACCAATCTTTATTTTCCGATTGGGTTTGCATTGGACATGAAATTACCAGGATTTTGTCCTGCTAAAAATTCCACATTCATTTTGGGATGTCATTGTAGAATTCAACATACATATCTGAATTGTCTTACAAACTATATATACGAATAACATGAGTGGTCAATCGGTTATAGTCAGTGTATAACCCAGTATAGCTGTCCATCGGTCACCACAGCACATCGACAAATAATCAACCAGACGAGAAACAGGATGTGAATGAGTATCGAAAGTAGTGGGAATCTTAACATTAAAAATAGTACACTAAAGCAGGAACAAATGCATTCGAAAGACGGGAAATTGGAAAGGATATATGAATTAAAATTTAGGGAATGAATTAAGCTATTCCACTCGCGACGATTTTGCACCATTTCATATGATATCTCGAGCCATTGACCATGGGTACTACGTTGACCTCACTCGGGTAGTCTACACCTTAATATAAAGATCCGAACTGACACTCAGTAACTTCGTGAACTGAGGCTATGTTCTTGGTTTGCTAACCTTTAGATTCTTTCAATGCAGTCCTATTTCAGTTAGCATGCCACATCGGGGTAAGTAGTGGTTAGCCATTAATACGTTAGCTATCTCAACATCGCTGTTAGACCATTGCTCAGATTAACTTTAACTATAGATATATTACGCGAAATTCATTAGTCAGTTATTATTTACTTGGGCTATTAGTGTTGTTACGTTTTTCTGAACGAAGCATATCGTTTACATTTTACGGTCTCTAATCTATTAGTCTGGAATAAGAGTTTCTCAAGTCGCTGTGAATCTCGAGTTATCTGCCAAGAAGAATACTCAACAAGGTGTGGTACAGATTAAAGCGAAACCTCAAGTTATTCGTTTTCATCTCATAAATGCTATTCAAGGTGAATTTCTTTCAAAATAATATTCAGTTCAGTCATAGGATCAATATCCCCAAATATCTCTAACTGGAAATTAGATTGATAGTAAATAATTTCCATTTAGGTTCAGTAGTACACGACAGGTAAAGACGACTCACAAGTCGGTGAAAATCAGCATGTTATAATATCTGTTAAAAGATCTTTCGCAAAATAAACTATTACTAGGGAAAGGAACATATCAATGAATTCATTACAGTTTTGTGGCTAAAGTGTACAATACGACAAGGTATTGTAGTTTCCATTAGCATGGGCATGTCGTCTTTCTGTTGGTCACTACCAGCCATGAAACTTCGAATAAATGGTATGTTTTTGAGCGTATTGTCAAAAATTCGAATAATAAGCACATGAAATCTTTTCAACTGTATTATTTACTCAGGCTGTACAATTGTATTTATAGTTAATTTGCAAATAAAAGTCTGTCGAAAAATAGGACGATTACATTTTATCAGGTGGCCAAGAAAATTACTTAATCGAGAATTGAAGACAGACAATATGATCAAATCAAATGTGTGGATGAGATAATTGTTCGATGGATGATTATGAAAACGGTGAAGGATAAATGTGGCGATTATAACGAAAAGTTAAAAACATTAGAACATATTATAAACCGAATTATCGTGTATAAAAATTATCAGGGTCATGGAAGAATAATGCCTTGTTCGTGTCCCTTTAGTTACGGAGTTCAGCTTTCAAAAGATGGTTCGCTAGCGTCCATACAGTGCATAAGTTATCAATTTGCTCTCCTGTCAAATTAAAGTTAGGTTGACAGTTATGATATGAAACATTAAAAATAATAATTTTGTCGGAAACCGGCTCCGGTTGATATAAACAGGGTAGGTAATAATAAGGTCCAATTATTTGTTAATTAGCAGTTGCTTAGGTGTGGCTAATTGTACTCCGTCTTTTCCGTTCATGTTGTTCTGTTCTGTACATATATACAGTGCTTCTACCGTTAATCTTTTTTTTGTGTCAGTCAAAACCTTTCTGCAGTGTTTCGATCCTTTCGAAACTGATCTTTTGCTTTGTTTCTAATGAATGTTGTTCTATTACAAATCTATTATTGAGCTCAAAGTTTACTGAGGAATCAGTAATATGTTTAAAACACTTTTTGTTTTCCTTCAACTTCACATTCAGCCGTCAGGAAATCTCTTCCAAATATGCTACATTACACTCATGGCACATTATTTCACAGACAGTGTTCTATCTGTAACTTAACCTTAGATTTAACTAACTAGCATGGGGATGAACTCTTGCGTCATACTGATGTAGATTCTTCTTTACGACACAGGGTGACTGTGGTATCCCTCCATTATCTTGATAAATTTAATATAGCTTATCAGTTTTAGTTGTGAGGACTCCATCTGAAGCCAATAATAGGTCGTAATAATTTTACTGTTTTTAATTTACCAAATTTAAAATTAGTTGATCAGTAATGCAGTGATCACTATTAGCTTTGTTTGGAAGTAAATATCACGAAATTCAGAAGAAAGCTGCACAAATAACCTGGAGAAATACTTTTATCAATCTAGCCATTTTTATATTATACAGATGAACTACTTAAGAGCAATTTAATTATGCATAGAAGTTATTAAAATAAATGAATAAAAAATCAGTAATTTCTCATCAGGTTCTACAATTATAAATCCAGATTAATAATCCATAAAATTGGCCAGATTTAAGGCAAAATACATCATCATTTGGAAATGGTAATATGTGAATCAGGAATTGTTTGTTATATAAAAATAAAATCGTTAATGTTGGGGCTGACTAATATAAAGTGTTAACTTGAATCAGTTTATAAGTGAAATGAAATTGTGAGATAAATTATCAGAATAAATATGGTCAACATGGGGTAAGAGAGAGAGAGTATTGTGATTACAAATCGGAAATTGCGTAATATGTAAAATAATTAGGTCAAATATAGTAGATTCAGGGGTGGATATTGAATAAATTCCTCAAAAAGGGGTTATCAAGTGTAAAGACAATAATAATAATAAGTTTGGGACATAAAATGAACATTAATCAGATTACGGCACCACATTATAAAAGGAGTGGCTGAACATACTTCTTTTGGATACAAAGCTCTGGCTTTTTGATCCGAATAGCAATTGCTTCAGCCGTCTGTAGGATTCGCAGTCTGACGGAATTAGGTAGACTGCTGTTGACACGATAGATTATTGCAAAAGATTGCTCCATGTTGGCTGTATGTCCTGTTTGGACTAAATGGTCTAAGATGGAGCTGTTAACAGTTTTGACAACACCTTTGCTTAACCACACGGGTAGGTGCTCACGAGCCCGAATGTACAAATTCCTAGAACATCTGCCGATATAACTTGCTCCACAGGAGCAGTTGAATTGATAGATACAGAAGGAGGTGGCTAGTCTAGGTAATTTATCTTTCAACCTCGGAGTGATTATTGGTCGTGTGGAGAATACTAGTTGTAGTTTAGCTGCGTTGAAAGTCCTTTGAATTGATCTACTTAACTTAAGTCTTAACATTTCACTCGGCGCGTCTCCTCTGAATTGTAAGCGTATATATAGAGGCTTTCTATTTACTGTTGGACATTCTCTACGCTGTCTTTTATTGGCTAAGTTTTTATTTATAAATTTCTCTGGATATCCATTTTCTTTCAGGGTTGTAAACAATGTCTTTGTTTCATCTTCAATCGTATCCATAGTGCATATAGTCTTGATTCTATGATGTAGTGTCTTGATAAGGTTCCTTTTTTGTTGTAGAGGAACGAAACTGAAAAAGTTAGTATATTGACCCGTCCAGGTCATTTTCCTGTTTATGTTTCTTTTTAGCGATCCATCTTTTCTCCTTGTAAGCAGAACATCTAGGAAGGCTATTTTACCCCCATTTTCTTTCTCACATGTGAATTTTATGGACGGGTGAGCTGTATTGAATTGCTCGAGTGTTCTTATCAAGTCCGTACGCTCGTTA